TGTTGTTGGATGTTCCCGATGACCACGAAGTCCACATCACCATTAGGAAGATCGAGGCTCGTGCCATCAGTGAAGGAAACCATTGTGTCGACAGCGTTGACGCCGACGTTGTCCAGCGTGATAATGCTGGATTCCAGAATGCTTGACTGCTCGAAGCTCGCCTGAATAGCAATGGGAGTTTCATCGAACATGCTATCAAGGATGTACGTAGATCCAGATGGCTGGCCAGAAGGATCCTGAGGATTGATCAGGCTTATTCCTATGGGTGAACTGGAGAGACGCAATCCAGACCACGTCCAACCCCAATCCCAGATCAAACCAATGCTCGCATTAGTCTGACCGAATATCTCGAAATCGCGGACCGTGTACTGCTGGTTACCACCATAAATGCCATACGATCCACCTGAGAGTGTGCAGCCCGACATGAAGCCACCGCTACCATTTTCGGTGTAAATGCCCATCTGGGTGGTTCCGGCACTTGAGCTGGCGGTTATGTACACGTTGGTTAGGGAGGTCGCTTGCGCAACCTGCCAATGCAATCCGGCAGCATTCGCGGTGGTGGTCTCCTCGATATCAATGATGAAGTTCCGGACTTGACGATAGAAATTGGATTGCTGAAGATAAGAGTTTAGCTTGGTTTCCCGAAGGTACCATATCACAGGAGTCGACTTACTTCAATGTACCACTCATTTCCATTGTCGTTCGGGATATAAACATCACTTTGAATTGCCCCCAGGCCAATGAACGATGGAGACGTTTTGATCACGGGAAGGTCATTTGCATTACCCACCAACTGAGAATAGTAAGAGGCATTGAGGGGCGAGGAGATGAGGTATGTGCCTGGGGGGAAATAGATAAATGTACCCTTGGTCGAGGAAGATTCGCAGTTTTCCTGGCAACTTCCTCCGTAGGAGATTGCGGCATTAATAGCATCGGTGTCATCCGTCACCCCGTCGCCCTTGGCTCCAAACTTTGGATCGGTAACGTCTCGATAGACGGGGTAGGACGAATCCCACCCCATGGGCGGGCGACCGTGGTCGACCTGGGCCGGCCAGTAGTCCGACGATGAGTCTGTACTGTCCTGTTTCGACGATGTCAAGGGCCTGCGCGCCTTGGTGAACTGACTGTAAGATTTGTGAAGAGTGCCATTCCTTAGCTGCTGTGCTGCGTGACGCTCAGCAAGGAGTGCGGCTGCAGCTCTGAGACGAGAGTCCAACGTGGGCGCCACCGGCTGTGCAGACAATTCGTACTGGGTTGAGGAATGCGAAGCATTGGAGTGGCGCGATTGATATGTGTTGCGCTTAGGATTCGCCACTCTCCAGGCATTATATTCGGATTGTTGTGCCACAGCAGCCTCCACGAGCTTCTGAGCCTGTTGCAGCTCAGTGATCGAGGTATTGAGGGAACGCGGCCTCGGTGGATTGGCAAGGGCTCTCCGCTGATGCCACAGATGGAAAGTTGAGTCGGCGATTGGGGAAGCCCCAGTTAAAATTAGACAGAAAGCAAGAATCACAAGCACAATGAAAGTCCTCCACATTGCAGCCATCATTATTCGGCATGCTAGGAGTGCTAAAGGAAATGAGGACGTATGTAGGCTAAGCAGTCAGGCTTAGGCCAGGTACTTGGCACAGGTGGCCTGAGTCAACAGTTAAGGAGCGAATAAAAGAATGACTGGTTAAATGAACAAAAGAGTGACTTGCTGGAGAGCCAAAGGAAAGAAATGAGTGATGAGGGTGCTTTCAGCCGACGGTCGAGTGCCCATGGCATATTACATATATAACCCCGGCTCGAGCCAGAAATTTCCCAGGCTGGATGAAGCCCCCTGATTCCGATCTATCCGACGGCGAAGTATTCCCTTACGAGATACCTTCCGCTAATTGCGCTGTGAGGGGAGTAAGACAAATGGCTCGATCTGATTTAATTCGACACGTCGAGCTAATGCGAGCTAGGTGCACTCCAAGAGGCGTGCCTGAACAGGCTCCACCGTCTTGCGATAAGAACCAACTTATGTTGAGCTCTTCGAGCTAGTCTATAGTAGTTGCACTGTGTGCCTGACAGGGATTTTTCCTAGCTCCCAAACCCCCCCTCCCCCGTCTTGCTTTTCATGTGCCTACTGTATTTATTTGATGCAATTTGAAACTCCTTTTTCCTCACTGTACGCTCATTGTTTCTCTTCTGTCTCCCATCTCCCATCTTGTTTCTCTCGTTGTTCGCTACGCAAAGCAATCACCCAAGATGCATCTTGTCCTTCGACTTTTCCTTGTCACTTCATGGATCTTGATTCCAGTCTTTGGCCAGCTGGAGACAATTGGTCTCACAACCTCTGGTGTTACACCCACTAGTACGCTCTTATCGACGGCCAACCCGACCTCATCTTTATCGAGTCCGCCAACTTCGGCAACCCCCTCGCTCACTACTACCTCACCCAGTGTCACCAATTCGGGTGACTCTTTGGTGCTCACCACTGTGTTTACCCAGCCACCAGGATGCGCTGGTGGAATGACCGAGATCCCAGCATGGTCGACCGAGCTCTGGCAGAACATTGTCAATCCGGTTTCCACTATGACCCTTTCATCCTGCTACCCCAGCCAATTCTACTATAGTGCGATAGCCACTAGAATCCTGCCCCCCTACAAGCAGCTTGTGTGCCCCGAAGACTGGGAAACGTACAATGTTACCGACACGTACATCATCTGTTGCCCAAGGTATGCTTTTTGTTTCTCTTGCCTCGACTCTCCATTTAGCCCCAGAAAGGCTGACTGGACATCCATTAAAAGCAACTATGGAGTGTACATGCCAAACTACCAGAATTCGACGCGACCTGGATTAGGCGCCGTCTGTACTTCGAGCATCTGGCCCGATGTGTTGATGGACATCACCAGCTACGATTCCGCGGGATCGGTCACTGTCATTCCCACCATCGCTGGGGATGATGGGGCCCTCGTGTTCGCAACGGCGTTCGATGGAACCAAGGCTACTGCTGTGGCCTCATCCACATCTATGGCCTCTACGTCTCCCCCCAGCGCCATCTCATCTACATCATCCCCAAGTAACACTGCTCCGGAGACTACCATTGTTCTCACAACTTCTGCTGGCTCAACCGCATCCACTTCGACATCCGCAACGGCCACCATCACCGGAATTTCCCAGCTCCCTACCTGCGGTGTAAGGCCCTACCCCTACCCTCCACCAAAGTCTACCTGCTAAGTCCAATTTTTATACAGCAAACCTGCTTCGACAACATGTTAGCCAAATATGATAGCCTCGGCTGCGAGACATCCGATCCATCCTGCCTCTGCCGAAACATCAATTTCTACTACGGAATCCGTGACTGCGCCAATGCCGCTTGTGGGACTGCAGTGGCAAGCACAGTTCTGGCTTTCGAGAGTGGATACTGCACCTCCGCCATTGCGGCCGAAACCACCTATCCGGTGACTAGTACCACCACCGTCTCGTCGACATCTACAGCAAGTCCCACCGCAATCTCTGACCTCCCCACCTGCGGTCAGACCTGCTTTAACAATATGCTGGCCAAATACTCCTCCCTCGGATGTAGTAGCCCTGACCCTGCCTGTTTATGCGAAAACATCAACTTCTACTACGGTATTCGGGATTGCTCGAATGCTGCCTGTGGTACTGAGGTGGCTACCACTGTTCTGGCTTTCGAGAGCAGCTATTGTGCCTCTGCTACCGCGGCTGCTGCCACCAGTAAGTAATGTATGGGTGAGAGAAATGACTGCTGGAGCGCCCAATGGTCTTAGGGAGATGGTTTCACATGTTCATACCCACATCGTTGCCCTACCTCATTTCCGCGCTAGCTAGTACTGTAGTTTCCCCCTTTTGTTAATCAGGGCCTTAGAGCATCATCGTTTAATTTGATTCGAGATTATCCATTCTGTAGGCATCTCAGCCTTCCCAAAGGTGCCACTGACAAATTTGGCCCGATACAAACCATTAGTACAGGCAAACTTACTAGTTTGTCAAGCAAGCATCCATGAACATGATCATTTCAGCCCTGACCACACGACGCACTAAACCGGGATCGAAATCCTTCTCTCCTATCTTCCCACCACGGAGGTCCCTCCGAGACTCCCGTGTGGGCATGATACGACCCTGGCTGCTCCTCTATCTGAAGTCTAGGGGTCCATTTCCGCTGCAAAGATAACAAAGAATTTTTAGCCGGCATCGTCCTCCGAATCCCGGTGACCCTTGAACCAGGGCTGGTTCGAGGAAGAGAAGAGACTAAGCGCTAACCCCGACGGACCTCCGGATTGTGGTTCGGTGGCCAGTTTCCGGGGTTAAAATAGTCTACCTACTAGCCCTACTAGCCGCAATAAGGGTCCAACCAACAAGGTTAGAATCAAGCTCCAACTAAACACTACCAAGCTCTAGCCTGCCAAGATCAACTACTAGTTTTAGTCGAAGCTAGGTACTCGACTATGTATGCATGCAATCTCGCCTACAATGAGATGTCTCACTTCCCCTCAACGGACACGCCGATTACCCGGTCTGTTGTCGGACACAGGGAGAGATTTTGTGTGACTCGAAATTGGGATGTAGGATTCATCTCCAAACCTCCGAGATAGAGGATGCGAGAGGGGTGAGCATGTCAACTTCCGATCTATCCGTTGGATGAACACCCCTGATATGCTTAGACGAGTGTCACTTATCTGGGAAATTAGAAAGCGATATGAGAGATGAACGGGGTGTCTGAGCATGGTGCAGTGATAGCCTGTCAGGGAGGTAGACATCCCCCCGTGCGCATCTGCCTGCCAGCGTATTTCTCAATCTCATTCGATCCCATTTTCTCCCAGTCCTCTATTCTTTAGAAATTCGGCTCCTTTTCCTTCCCTTTGTCTATGTCGTTTTGTGTGAAGTCACTCTCTATCGTTCTCGCTCACTCTTGCTTCCTTGATAGTCACTCTTTATCTCACATTCGTTAAATATTTTCTCTACTCTTTTTCCATTGTCAGTCCATGCTCAGCACTTGCGCCAGAAGAATGAAGTTATTCAATCTACTTCTTTTCTGGTGCTCGGTCTTGTCCACCCACGTACTAGCCGACAACAATGCCGCTCCCTTCGAGCTTCTGCACTATTACTACGTGTACAAAATGGAATGGGACGCGGGAGTTGAAAAAACTATTGCCCCTGGCTGTGCCACTGAGCATAAGGAGATGTGTTTTTTTGACCAGTTCGCAAGGTATCTCATAGGAAAGAAGTGGAAGGCTGCCTACCGACCCGGCAACGCCGATCATACCAAAACCCCGGGTTGGGACGCTGCCAATAGGTTATCGACTGGTATGCCCAGATCTGCACGGTACAAACTAGATGATCTGCTACCTTCCATCAAAGCCGATGAAAAAAATTTTCCCCTCGTCTTTGAGACTGTTCTTAACTCCGCCAACACTGCTATCGCAAACGGAAAAGGAAACGTGAAGAACGATGATGTGAAACAAGCGGTAGAATGGGCCCAGGAAGTCAAGGACATGCGCTATCAGGCTGTCTTGAAAGTCGAAATAAAAGTGCTGGAAAATCTCCTTGGCAAAGAGGCATATGGTCGTTGGGTAGTTTTCGGGGGGGAGTTTTCAATCGATTGGGATGCTACCTTGGAAGAGATCGACGACGGGGTTGATTCTAAAGAGCTCAGTGACGAAGATGGGAAAAGGCTCAAGAAGATCATTAATGATTTTTCTGAGACATTTGAGGATCGCATTGCTACCGGACACATTTCCGACATCAATCACCTGAATATAATGAGGGCTCTTGAGACTTCCATCACTGCTTTAAAGGAGGTAATTGAAGAAAGTTCTTCTGAGAGTGATGACTCCAGTCCAAAGTCCGTACCAGCTGATACGTGTGATAACATTGAGTTCGCCTTCGACTCAGACTGACTCCATGTTTGCAGGAGGCTGTTTGCTAGGGCCAGGCACTATGTTTCTCTGCTCGGGGCGTTAGGTAGCTAGTTGTGTAAAGATAGTTCTCTCGTCGCATGACACTCTGCGTCTGCTTTCAGCTCCAGAAGTGATAGAAGCTCAGTAAGAAGTGTATGTTATTTTTTCAAGTCGATTCCGAAAACGTCAGGTTCATTATATCCATGTAAACATTTGCGAGTACCCTTGCTTCATGACACTTGGATAGTTTCTACTTTGCGGCACACACGGGAAAGGCTTCCATAACTTCTCCACAATTCGTGTTCAACAATTGAAGTACGGCCAATTCATTTCCTCCATCCTGACCAGATTATTCCAGCGATGCTCTTTCAAAAAGGCGTGGCGGTGCCGCCGAGCCTCCGGTAACCCCATAGGCCAGCTGCCCGTCTCTTGCATGATCTGATCGATTATCTCTTGAGGCAGTCCCGCAGCGCTCAGATCCGCACCTACCGCTTCTGCCCACCAGTGATGCTGTTGGGGCGGCACATTTCGGGTGGAGCAGACGCGATAGTGAGGGTCGACCAGATACAGCTTGATGTATCTAAAATGCCCCGGGCGAGTCCGATCAGCCAGGGAGAAGGGCTCGACACGGTGCTCTAGAAGGTTGGGAAATGCGATCAAACGCCCTTGCGAGACCGAGACTACACCTTTATCCTGCCATGTTCTCGTTGCGTGGTTATCAGTATCGAGGTCAAAATCCGAATAGCCCAGGATTTGCGCCAATTCATATAAATCGGAGTAGCCATGTTTTCCATATCTGTGGGCTGGCGGCGTTCGTATGTGCCACCTGCATCCTGTTTCTTTATGCTCCCTGTATCTGTAAAAGCATTGGTCCATCTTAGTGTTCTGACGAAAGGCGATCTGGGGTTCTGTAACATTCTCGATATCGTATGCAAAGATGGCGACAGCTATGAGGTGCTCGTTAAGCTGGCCTTCCATATGCCAGTCTGTTCCTTTGTAGTCCGGGCTGTCAAGGGTAAGCTCAATGTTCTCCATGTTCACAATTACTTGTAGTCCTTGCGAACGGAAGGCCTCCTGAAGCCGAACAGTATATGGTTTGTGGGGAGGCGTGACAGGTTTGTAGGGCATATCATGCCAGTCGATCCGCTTGCGGATCATGTCAACCACAGCTCTTTCGTGGTGATGCCCCGTCTTCCACTCTTCATAAGAAAAAGCCGTCCCTGGCTCCGGGTGACGAAAACGCACCACTCTCTTGGCCTTGCGTTCGATTGCATACCAAGTGTTCTCCGGCCAATCATCTGGAGCAGGAACAGGGGTCGCTGATCCATCCTCAGGAAGTTCGAGATACTCCTTTGCGCGTTGCCAGAGGTCTGACTCGGGGGGCGGTAACTTCTTTTCTTCACTCCCTATAACGTCTTGAAAGTCTTCCAGTCGTTTTTGTGCGCGTTGAAATCTTTTGCGACCCTCTTCTGTGTTATCCCCCGCATTGTTTAAAAGCTCTTCTCGGAAAAAGCGGTACCTCGACTTTCTCCACTCACTTGGAATCCGGAAGGCGAGCAGGCATTCGGGAATCTCATTCTCCCACTCTATTCCATAAGTGATTATCCGTAGTGGCACCGGCCCCAGCTGGCCCTGGTTCAAGATGTCGCTCCAGCCCCGCTGGCCCTGGACCAAGCAGTCGTTCCATAATGGTATTGTCCAGCCTACCAATGTCTCAATTGCACGGTACAGGCCCTGGTGCACAGGATGCAGATTATTGACATATGAGGTGAGGCGAACCTCCGTCGATCCTGCATCCCCTACAAACTCCACTTCGGATGGCAGAGCCTGATAATTCGCGCTCCATCGGTAATGAGGCGCTGTTTCATCATCGACTCTCACCCACCATAGCGGCTTTGGCCGTTCATCAATTTGCCTCTGAATGTTCGCCGAATCTGTCCTCTTGTCGACATGAGCAGGCGCAAGGGTGGTCGCACCTTGATACGCGCCAAGCACATTCTCTACCTCCACCCGACCACCATCAGTCAAGACCAAGCTATGCCCATAAACCAGCGGAAACATGGTCGGGTCGACGGTACTTAATCTATTCCTTGACCGCCAATCCAACAGCCCAGATTCCATGAGGGATCGAAGCACCGGTTTTACCGCGCGTCGGAACTCGCCGGCTAGCTCCCCCGTTTGAAGTGCGGGAACATGATCAGACTTGCAGACACAGGATCCAGTGTCCAACACCCGGACATGCCCATTTTGCTGAAACTTGGTGGCTTTGTCGCGTAGTTCCTGCACGCACCACTCCCAGGCCCGGTCACTCAAGAGGGGATTCATAGCGATGGAGGCAGTGCTGTCTTGCCGCCAGCGCGCCACGACCACATCATCAAAGACATCGACATGCCAGTTTGGACGGTCGGTCAGACGATTCATTACCGCAGTCATGGTCAGCTCACGTGCTGTGACGGCTGGCGCCTGGCGCCACTCTTTGATTCCATGAGCAAAGCGCGCGTCGGATGGAAGCTCATAATCCAGAGGGATGGCACCAAAGCCGGGCACCCGAAGCGGGCCGTCGCCGCTGTTATCGAAAGAAATGATTGGGGGCTCGTGGATGGACTCTTCACCCGTGTCATTCGAAGAAAGAGGTTCATCATCCATGATGTGCAGAGAGACAGAGCTTGTCTGACTAGAATGGGATCAGGAAGGTGGGACGATGGTGTGAGATAAGAGGTTTTAATAGTAAGTAGCACTTCAGCAGTACTAGTTCAAAGATGGAAAGCCTGACTCAGAGAGTCAGCTGGTTACAGGGATCAGGAACAGCTAAGCTCTTTTTGTATCCAGACTAGTAAGTACTGTAGCTTGCCTTGATGGTTGAATGAGTAGCCTATGAAGTACTAGTTGGTTAGTACGGCTTGCCTCGGTAACTGGATGAGGGCTGATAGCGTAGCAGTAAATATATACAGTACCATAAGCGATGAATAAGTTTATCCCCATTGTCAAGACTGACCCTTCGATAACCGTCAAATCCAAACCGTCTAGATCAGAGACAGGTTCTTCTCATGAGCTATCATCTATGTGGTAAACAAGACTGCTCAAAGATAAATAGAGTTGGGGCATCTCGGATCAACTCACTATCCGAACCCATAAACTTTAGTGACCCGTTTGAGGTTTTCCCCGATTCGGGCCGCCGCTTTGATGCGGAGAAACACCCTTCCAATTCCCGCGGGATTGTGTACTTCCTCCACATTTCTCCCGGTCCCGTCGAACGGCTGCTCTTCCCAGGTTCAAACTCCGACCATGTCCAATCGACAACGGGAACATCTCCAACTCTCGAATGAGTCCAATTCGTTAAGCAACACAAGCCATGTCCGCTCCCCTTTGCCGACCCGAGTCAGTAATGCGTGTGAAAGATGCCGGCGCCATAAAACTCGGGTAAGCGTGATACTTTCCCTTTAGTAATTCTTTGCCAACGTACAAATAATGACGCCCATTTATCTGACAACCACAGTGCGACCCTTTCCGACCTTGCTCCCTATGTGCACGGGCCAAGGTAACTTGTCGTCAGCTCCCTGTTCCCCAGAGGCCTAAGGATAAAAATCGCATGTACGTCACTCCATTCTCATGAGCATGACAAGAACACTTCCACTTCTATCTCGGGGTCACTGCACCTTGCATTCAGTAACACTCATTAGCGCGAAAGAGGCTGTGCAAAGCCGCCAGCGGCAGACTAGGACATCAGCAGCAATGATTGATAGTGAACCACAATATATTGATGGCAACTGCCCATCTACGTCCAGAACTGAGAGAAATGACACACAGCTATCTGAGGAGATGCATCAGGCGCAGTTCTTGATGGAATATGGCGAAGCCGAATCTACAATGGGTATCGCCCAAAAAATCTATGAGCTGGATAAGCAGGTCATCGATGAACAATCCACTTCCGCCATTCCAGGATCCCGGACTAGCACGGGTGTTGCTGACCGGCGCACTGTAGCCGGAGGGCAGCGGCGTCCTATCTCTTCGATCTTAGGTCGACACCTTCCTTCCACAGAAGTCACCTACTCTTTAATCGAGGAATACTTCGATACAGTTCACTGGTTCTCTCTCGTTATCTACGAGCCAACCTTTCGCACAAGACTGCACTCTATTACTGATGGGTTCGCTCATCCTTCTCAGAAGTCATTCTTACTTCTATTGACAGTCATGCTGGGGATGAGCGCATGGTATCGATCACAAAGAATCGTCACAGATGCAGCCGATAGTAGTAAGTGGCGGAAATTGAGTGCCGATCTCATGAGTCTTGTCGAACTGCATGTTGTAGAGTTGATGGACGAGTCTTCAGTGACAGCAGCTCAAATTCTAATTCTATTTGGGTCGCACCATGTTTATCATGGTCGCCCAAACTTGTCGTTCTCTCTGCTCGGTGCAACTATCAAGATGTCCCAGGCTGCTGGGCTACATCGAGAATCTCCTACAGGAAAGCTTGAGGAGATTGAGGAGCGGAAGCGAGTGTGGTGGACAATATACACATGGGACCGATTTGCTTCCATCACATACGGACGGCCATTGGGAATTAATGATAAGGACTGCAATCTCAGCATGCCGGCGGATAATTTGGAGAACCCATATTTTACTGCACCCGGTTCGGAGCAAGGATACGCCATCTGCTATTCTCCCTATCAAAGAGAATTAAACACCCTCTATCTAACGGCATCTCCGGCTCTGGAGTTCATTTTCGGCTCGCGCACTTCGGGTTCCTCTAAGGCATTGACCGGGGACGTTTACATTGAACTAGTGAAAGAAGCGACCCAGAATCTCCAGAAGTGGCAGAACAATCTTCCCGACTACTTGAGTCTGGACTTTGACCGAGATTTCGAACTTGATAGTGGGCCGAGTGCAAGAGCGCATGCTCTACAATCCCTGTCGTTGCAACTAACCTACGATAATGTTCTCATTGTCCTCCACCGGCCGTTACTGGCAAGGCAAGTCAGGCATCTGTCAATAAGTCATCCCACTTCTGGGGCAAGGCTTGGAACGGAATCTCCCATTTCACACCCTGAAGCAGGCTCACCAGCTCAGAAGCTGTCACCGTTCGAAGCCATGTCCCCGAATGAGCCGGTCAAAAGTTCAATGCATTGGTGGAATGCTGCCCTCAGGACATCGCGCGTCACAGAAGTGCCGGTACTTGCTCAACTTGCAACAGATAGCCATCTTGTCGCCTTTCTTGCCATCAATATATTCCATGCTGCAATCGTACTGGCAGTCATGGCCCTATCAGACCCATTATCAGATTCAACCCAAGTGGCGAAGCGTACAATCACCCGGATCTTACGTCTACAGAGCCTTTTGGGTGAACGGTCAGCTTTATCAAGACAAAGTACGACCGTTTTGAAAAATGTGGTCACTCTGATTCTTCGCCGTGAATCAGAGGCCATCCTGGCTCCAGTCACAGGAAACAGTCAACAGGAAGGGCATACATCATCTACTGGATCTGCGTCCATATCCGTGGAAGACACCCTACGACTGCCCCTGGATGCCCCAATAACTCAGACCGACAGTTCATTACGGCGGCCGACATGGCCAGACCATGGCAGGATGCATCGGTTGAATGAGAGTCTAGCATCAGTTCAAAATGGTGAGCGCAATGCCATCTTTCTATCCCTATGATATCTCCAGAGAAGCTGATTGTATTTTATTCATTAGTCATTCCTTCTGGCAGAGATGGTGGCCTCAATGACACGCACGGCGCGAGAGACAGTCAAGAACAGCCGCCCGGTTTTCAGGAGCACGCCCCGGCTGATAACTCGTGGCATGGGTCGCTTGAAAATAACTGGAATGACCCTAGCTTCCCCTTGGACGTTCGAGAAATTACCTCAGATGCCTTTGGTGATAATGGACTGTACTGGCTATGGGACATGTCATGGGCCGGAACGGATCCATGAAGCTAGCGAATCTATCTAGCACGCAAAGCGCCTTACAGACTTCTATTACGGAACAATTATAGGAGGTTGGCTCGGTTTACGCCATGGTTGCTTTCGCTGCATTCTCATCTGCACCGGGTCCATAAATAACAGTCTTGATACCCTGTCGGTTGCCGACGGTCTTGAATGCCTCTTCCGCCTGCGTAAAAGGGAACTCATGAGTGACAAGACCCTCTAGAACAACCCGACCCGACGACAATAGCCCAATAGCTGTCCGGTAATCTCCTGGACCATACCGAAAGCTCCCCCTGAAAATGGCCTCTTTATCACAAATTTGACCGACCGGCAGTGAGGGATTCGGTTTGCCCAAGCCGACCTGAACAAATGTTCCACCCTGCGCAAGGGCTGAAATACCACAGTTCATACAAGGCTCAGCGCCAGTGGCATCCAGTACGATATGAGCTCCAGCATCCAGCTCCGATTCTTCCAAGATTCTGGCGGCATTGTGCTCGGGGGAATCGGCGCTCATCTTATACGTGTGCGTGGCTCCGTACTTTTGTGCCACGCTAAGTCGGTCGGAGTTGATGTCTACAATCACGACTGTTGACGCACCGAATGCACGTGCAACGGCTGCGCAGAGCAAGCCAACAGGACCAGCGCCGAAGACAACGACCGACTTTTGCTGCATATCTCCTGCCAGGCGACAGCTGTGTACCGCCACACTGAGCGGTTCGACCAGTGCTCCGTGTTGTAGTGACACATGTGCCGGCAGCTTGTAGCAGCATTCTGCAGGAAGACGGTAGTAGGTCGCCAGGGTGCCATCATAGGGTGGTGTAGCGGCAAAACGCATCGCGCTACAAAGATTGTATCTGCCTGCGCGGCAATGCTGGCAGGTATTGCAAGCAATGCCGGGCTCCAGGGCCACGCGATCACCAACAGTGAATCCTGATTTGCTTCCGCATTCCACTACAATGCCGGCGGACTCATGGCCAAGGACTATGGGGGCTTCCACCACATACCGTCCTATGCGGCCATGCTGCCAATAGTGGATCTAGGTCGATGGTAAGCTGCGGTCCAAGCTAGAAGGACGATGAATGCAAATGAAGACTAACATCAGAGCCACAAAGACCAGTTACGATAACCTGGACGATAACGTCACGATCCGTCTGAAGATTGGGTATAACACGCTCTTCATAATCGAACTTGCCACCCGGATGTAATACGAAAGCCTGTACGGACACCGATCGAGGACGTCAATAGTCGACTCTTGGTAGAGATATCATAGAAATACGAACCTGATTAATTTCTGAAGGAGCCATTTTAGCCAAGTATTGTGTATGATCAACAATAATTCAGGGATTGGTCGGGGCTTTTAACAGGTCACTTCTGGCCGGGTGGTACGACGGTGGAGGTCATGCCATCTATGATGTCGGTTCCGGCGGATTGTCTCAGAAGCTCACCCTATCCGTACCCACAAAATGAGCCATTTGCGTTACCAAAGGAGCCAGTTTGTTGAGACCAGGAGACCGTCCCACGGCGGGGAATAAATGCCTCGGAACCGAGTGGGGTCGGAACTGGCCAAGCTGGACTCGGAACCGAAACCACACGGAACCGGTGAGAATACCCCAGAACCCCTACATCCTCTATCAACCAGCATCGATATTGCATTATGAAGGCTAAATTCTGTCCCGGAAGTCGACCGTGACTACGGGATAGTGAGACAAAATCATTGGCTGAGACCGAAA